ATCGTGAAAAAACGGCCTTCGTGACGCCCGATGGCCTGTACGAATTTAAGGCGCTTCCTTTTGGGTTGTGCTCGGCGCCAGCCACTTTTCAGCGTCTCCTGGACTACGTACTATCAGGCCTGAAGTGGCAAATATGCTTGGTCTATCTGGACGATGTTATTGTATTTTGAGCAACATTCGAAGAACATCCCAGCCGTTTATTCACCGTCCTCCAAGCCATACGTTCGGCCGGCCTTACCTTAAAACCAGAAAAATGTCATTTTGGTTTCAACAAACTCAGCTTCATAGGCCACGTCGACAGTCACGAGGGTGTTTGACCTTACCCGGCCAAAATAGACGCCGTAGCGCAATTTCCGGCACCACGTGACAAAAAGACCATGACACGCTTCTTAGGGTTGTGCGCCTATTACCGGCGATTTATCGAGGACTTTTCGTCTATTCCTGCGCCATTGACACAACTCCCACGTGAGGACGTCCCCTTCTTTTGTGGTGAACATGAGCAAATGACATTCAATGAACTACGACAACGCCTGCCAACAACTCCAGTCCTTGCGCACTTCGACCAGGATGCCCCTACAGCACTTCACACTGACGCCAGCAATGTATGTATGGGTGCCGTTCTGGTGCAGTGGCAAGACGGCTGTGAAAGAGTAATAGCCAAGCCAGCAGAACTCTTTCTTGCACAGAGAACTACTCGACTACCGAGAAGGAGTGTCTCGGCGTGGTGTGGGCGGTCATCAAAGTTCGTCCGTATTTGTACAGCCGCTCCTTCAAGGTTGTTAGCGATTATCACTCTTTGTGCTGGCTCACGAACTTTAAAGATCCATCTGGCTGTTTGGCGCGTTGGAGCCTAAAGCTTCAAGAGTTTGACATGACCATCGTCTATAAATCAGGGAAGCGACACACCGACGCTGACTGTCTCTCATGGTCGCCTGTGGAGACTGCCGCTCATGATGACAAAACCTTCTACGCGGCATTCTTGGGAATTGTCAACAAGGCCACTATTGCACGGGAGCAGCGCAGTGACCCCGAGCTGTTACCACTCATTGAATATTTAGAAGGACGACGTAAAGACGTGCCGTGGTTATTTGCCAGAGGACTGTCATCTTTTTGCTTGCGAAACGATGTTCTCTATAAGAAAAACTGCTCACTAACCAGCAACCCGCACTTTCTCGTTGTGCCTGCCTCTCTTCGAAAAGAAATTATGGAAGCGTGCCATGATGAAGCAAATTCTGGTGGTCTAGGCCACACCTGAACATTCTGCCGACTATGATGCAAGTACTACTGGCCAAAATTACCTGCTGCTCTTAACCATCACGTGCGAACTTGCACCGACTGCCAAAGACGCAAAGCACCTTCCAGCAAGCCAGCCGGTCTTTTACAACCAGTCGAAGCACCAGCGAAGCCGTTCACTCGGACTTGAATGGATTTCCAGGGTCTCTTTCCAACTTCCACAACAGGGAACAGATGAATAATTGTGGCCACCGATTACATCCCCCGTTATGTGGAGACTAAAGCTATGCAGCGCAGCACTGCAGCAGAAGCCGCTCAGTTCTTCGTCGAAAACATCGTCCTTCGGCATGGCTCTCCGACAGCAGTGATCAAAGACAGAGGACCTGCCTTCACCGCAGAGCTTTTGGAGTCGGTTCTCAGACTCAGCGGTACAGCTCACCGGAGAACAGCTGCATACCATCCGCAGACAAACGGATTGACGGAGCGCCTCAATAGGACCCTCACAGACATGATCATCATGTACATGGACACGGAACATAAAAACTGGGATCAGATATTGTCTTACGTGATCTTTGCCTATAATACCGCTTGACGAGAAACCACTGGAACGACGCCATTCAGTCTAATCTATGGTCGTGAAGTCACCACAACGTTGGACGCCATGTTGTCGTATGAGTGTGACGACATCCATGTAAACGTCGATGAATTCACTCAGCGCGCCGAGGAATCAAGACAGCTCGGGCGTGTGCGCATCTGTCATCACCAGCATCAAGATGCACAACGGCAGGACCCCCGACACAAGTTTATTAGCTACACACCAGGCGACAAGGTCTGGGTCTGGATTCTGATACCTTGGCGTGGACTGTCGAAAAAACTGCTAAGACGGTACTTTGGCCCATACAGCGTCACGCGACGTTTGAACGAAGTGAACTACGAAATTGTTCTCGACACTGACTGCAGTTGTAAGCGCCAAAAGCATTTACCCGAAGTCGTGCACATCGTGCGCAAGAAACCGTATTTATCGAGTTAATTAGCTCCCGGTTACTGGGTTGACTCGACCACTTTGTACGCCTGGTAGAGTGCCTAAGTTGCGCACGGGACAATGCCTCTTTCGGAGGGAGGCAAAAATCACGTGCTTGTCAAAAAGAAAGAGAATGACAGTTGTGCATGTGCCATGAAGTACAATGATATGGATGAAAAAGAACTCTCTTGCGCGTTCTATGAAAAAGACCGACCTGCTTCTAGCGTCTCAATCTCTGCGGCAAGACCTCTGTTTTGACGTAGTGAAAATATTGCAGCAGCGTTTTGATGTTGCCAGATTGGACAGCTCCAATTTCGTGTGGCAATGTTAGACTTTACCAATGCCTACGGCTCCGTCTCTCATCAGGTGTTATTTGACGCACTACGGGGGGCTTGTGCTGGTCCCGTCTTCACCGACCTCATCAGAGATCTGTACGCGGACAACCACATGTGAATCCTGCCTGCAGAGGGCTCGACAGAACCACTACTGGTGAAGGCGTGGCTGCGTCAGAGTTGCCCATCGAGCGACCTGTTTTTTAACATCGTGATCCCAATTATTCGTGCCGTCCGTGGTTCCGACACCAGTCACAACAATCTGATCTACGGGAATGGCGTGACGCTGCTCGCCTCGACGTCCAACAGGCTTCAACAACAAATAAACCGGATAGAGACCCCCACCGCTTCACTGGTCTTTTCACTCAACCCAGCCAAGTGCGCATCCGTCTACGTCATCCGAGCCACTCCCCTGGGCATAAGGCTTACATATTTCAGAGTGGCGGGTGTCTCCATCGCCACTCTTCGAGACTTCGATCCACAGTGGTTCCTGGGACGCCAGGTAAGCCACATGATCTCGACCGACTCTACCTCCGTATTCGACACCACTATCGCCACGCACTGGCGATCTTTTATTCGATGTTGGCGCCGTGGCAACGTCTGAACGCTCTCCGGTCCCGACGCTCAACTTCCGATGAGGTGCGGTGTCTTCGGAAATACCGACTGGCCCCACTTCAACGACACCATCCAGCCGCTGCTTAAGCGTACATTGTACCTGCCCAGCAACGCCGCGACATCATACATATACGGATCCGCACAGGGTGGAGCTAATGGGGTGCCTGTCGTGGCGGATATCAGCTACTTGTGTCGCATAGACTCCGCCTAAAAGCGTCTCACATCCCCCGACGCCGAGCTCCTGGAGATGGCCTTCGAAGGCGCCTACGTCCTCGTCACTACCTGCCTCGGCGGGAAGGCCAACCGCCACGAGCTGGAGACTTCACTCGTGGGATCGCTACCTGACAACGCCAGGGCCCCTGCCATCCAACTGCTGTCTGTGGGGACCAATGCCCGGAAGGCTTCTTGCCGCTACAACGTCGCCTGGGACCTGGACCCTGGCGACGTGCGTATAACATGCGGCTACAAGGCCGCTACGTCCCAGCACCGCTGCTGCGTCCTGCGGCCACTTCGAGATGTGCCAGCCGACAACAGAGGCTTCGCCCTCCACGACTTCTCCAACCAAGGGAAGGTGCGGACCTGCGTAGCGCCTGACCGCGTCAGTTCGCACTTCATGCGGACGGGCGCCTGCACCTCCTTCGCAGACTGGCACTTTGTACATCGTGCGTGGCGGAACTTGCTCTCACTCAACGGCGCCCGAATGTGGAGCGCACCGAACTGCGACCAGCGATGCCGTATTTGTGGGTACGAGCGGGAAACCGTCCCCCACGTGGTATGTAGGGGCATGCCATGCAGTGCTCTGAACAAGACCCACCACTACGCCATCGTTGACCATCGTTCGCCATCGTTCGGATCACTGCCTCACAAAATTTCACGGTGACCTTCGAAGACCAAGTCGTCGAAGACAAGGGCCAGCGTCCAGACCATTTGTTTTGTTTTGGTTTGTGGCCATGGTTTTAGCCACAGTGGATGCGGCCCTCTGTAGCGTCGTTGTTTTGGTATTGTGGCATTGCTTGCGCAATGCCATAACACTGAAACACGGTGAACGCAGTTGAAGGTGAATAACTTCAGTCGAAGTCTGCATGCAAATGTATTACTCGCTTGGTACACTGTGGTACGTGAGCCACCAAATGACGAAAAAGCCCTTGTCGCGCGTGCGTGGTGGTGTTCGTGTCATCAGAATGCAAAATTGTTATTTGCGGTGTAACTTCCAAAAACAACTATATGATTTCGAGGGGCGCTGCTGAGGAGGGCTCCGAAAATGTCGACTGTCTGGCGTTCTTTACCTTCTCATAACGAGAAACAGTACATTGGACTGTACCATTGTGCCTCAATCGAAATAGAGCTGCTGTGGTCACTCTTTTGTGGTCAAGCAAATCGACTGTAGCATTAGTAACATAAAAGAGCAGAGTGGCAATGAAAGGCGTAACTCCGAATTCGGCCACGAATCACTAAAACTAGTGTTCAAAAAAATATTTCACTTAGCTTGTGTGATTTCGCACTTGTAATTAGGGTAGCCTTGGAAACATGCGCTTGAAGTTTCGCTGAATTCAACAACATTAAGATTATGACTGAGTCGCTCTTTCGCATTAATCGAACTGCGAGTGCTGTGGAGCTTGTTTCTATGAAAAGCAAAGTATAAGGGCGAAAATATTCAACAACTCCAAACCAAAACGCGGAAAAGCATGGGGATTCCTCTTCAAATCAAAGTTCAAATTGACTGTGGGGCTTGCGAAGAGAAGATAGCTCCTACATTAAAGAAAGAAAAGAGTAACACATGGTCGCTCTAAGTGACTTACTTGAAACAGTGGTCTTTACGTCGTTGACGAAAGTGGTAAGGTCTTGCTTCTTGCCTTCTTCTGTCAGAACGACGGCAGCCGCTGGAGCTTCACCGTAATCCGAGTGGTTCAGTCCTACCACAGAAACCTCGGCTATCTGAGTGGGGTGCATGCGGAGCAACAGTTCTTCAAGCTCAGATGGAACAACTTGGTTGCCCATGCACTTGATCATTTGCTTGAGGCGTTCAGAAAAATATAAGCATCCATCCTCGTCGTAGTACCCAGCGTCACCTGAAGAATGGAAAGGAATAAGGTTATTTGAATTTATTGAACTACCCACAAGTACTTTTAGTAATAAGCGCGCGCACCGCGGAATTAAGGCATCGAAAGACGTATAGAAACTTACTGCAAAAAATCTACAGAGGACTCACAGCCACTAAAGTGCTCTATAAGGAATGCTACTGAATACAAATAAAGGGTGCAGTGTAGGGAGGCATGATCTCCCCAAAGATATTTAGTGAATACTTATGTGCGATTTTCTGAGTGCTCTATTAGGAAGTTAGGGTAAAGATAGTGGGCAGAACCTTAGTATCCTACGATTCGATAATGACGCTTTAGTGCTGACTTTGCCATGACTCAGGGGACGGATAAGCTCATGATTACTGAACCGGTCATGGAAAGCAGCACAGCAGGTGCGAGAACTAGTATGATTGAGACTAAATTATTAATCAACAGTCTCGGTGGAGAACCGCGCCTTGGGATATTTGGGAACACGCTGGAAGATGCAAAGAATTATGTCTACTTAGGACAGGTAATAAGTTCGCAGCTGAGCCCTCACACTAATAACTAGAAGATGATGGTGGGGTGATGTAAATTTTTCAAAAATTCTTAAATAATAAACTTACTTTAGCACTATTTCACGAAACAAAGGTATATACTACCTGCATCTTTGTATTTTTTTTATCGCGATATATACTTGCCCTAAAGGAATAATACACCAACAAAGCAGAAGCATGGAGGCTTGCATAGAAGGTTCAACCTAAATTGAGGACCAGCAGTAAGATATAGAAATGAAAGTACTTGGCATAACCATTAGTGATAAGAAGATGGCAAAGCGGGTAATGGAACAAACAGGTGTTCAGGGCATCATTGTTGATACCAAGACGGAAATGAACATGAACAGGTCATGGAGCACGTAGACAGAAAAACCTCTTGCAATTAGGGTTAACTGACTAGATACCAAGAGAAGGCGAATGCACGAGGATGCGACAACATTATAAGGCCAGAAGAGATTAATCAGTTTGGTGCTATAATGTGGAAGCATAAAGCACAGCGCCAGGTTGATTGCAAGAACAAGGGAAGTGCCTTTGCCTCTCAGTGGGTGTAGTTGGGCTGATAGCTATCATAATGATGATTATTAACGTATTGATCGAAAGACATCTGTAGGAGGGTCACCGGGCTCAAACGTTTTTTTTTTTCTTGAACATCACGTGTCTGCACCTTGGTGCGTTTTTAACTCCGAGAGCCTTTTTAATTAGTACGGGAAAGAGCTAGGAATAGATTTTGGGGCATTGCTTTTATGTGGTCTTCCCTGCTGTGAACGGCGTTGCGGTTGTCTGGCGTCGGTGGCACATTTGATAGAGCGAACTAGGATTAAAGAGAGAGAACGTAGAATGCGTCGATATCGCTAGCCACTGCACTCTAACCTCTTTGTATTTTTCTGCGACATTTGCTGGTCTCTCAGTCATAGCTCAGGCATATGCAGGGCTGGAACGTGCGCTGTGGCTGGCTTGGCTTGTCGTAACAGTACTGTCACCATTTCACTTGCATCGCAACGCCCCTACTGCACAGAGTGGTGTGCGTACCATTCCAACGCTGTCAGCTTTACGCTTGGATCGCAAAGTCTGCTGTGCACAAAGTGGTACGTGTAGCACCTGAACGGTGGCAGTTTCTGTGGCTGTATGTAGTGAATGTTAAAATAAACGTAATACAACATACACCCAAAACTTCAAACATAATTGACATTGTCCCGAGAACAAGCATCGCTCAGAATTCGTATTAGGCAGTATAACGTCATCAAGCCACTTGTCTCGCACACGTATATATATATATATATATATATATATATATATATATATATATATATATATATATATATATATATATATATATATATATATATATATATATATATATATACATTTTGTTGTGATGTCGCGCCCAGAGTTCGATACACTTTGCGAACATTTGAACTCATTCTCTGAACTACTCACCGGGAGCGAGTAGAACGCAGTAACGCTGGATCGTTCTGTACATTACGTACAAAAATTTGGTGAATTTCGCTGGTGATCGAAAGACGAACGACGCATAACAGTGGTCACTGCTGTGAAACTGCAGTCGTTAAATCGTCATCTGTTTCGTCCGTCAATATCTTATTTGCCCTGTGACTTATCAGGATTCTATCTGCTGACCTTTCATTTTATTCGCATAAGCTCTTACACTCGATACCTTCAATCTGTACTGCAACGTTGTTCAGTTTCACCACCTAAGCCATTTGCAGGGATGACCAAGAAACATCTGACGGAGGTCTTGGTTCTTTAATTTTCAAAACACTTTCGAGAAGCCGGGAATGAAGCACCAGCAGCAAATAACCTTGCAACGTAGAAGTGACAACGCAATAGGCAAGATAAAAAAAAATCACATCCCATGTCACCAAGCAAACACCAACGCCACAGTTTGATCGTCTTTCCGACAGCACTCTGATGTCCAAGACATTGACCAGCCAGGCGGCTAAAGTGAGAATCGCAAAGAAACAGCGCTCAACGCTGGAGCGGGTACGTAAGAGCTCCAACCTAAAGAAACTATATGCGTGAGGCTGGATGGAGTGGTAAATGTTAAGAAAAAAACAGGCTGAATGGCTGCAGGTCCAGACTATGATACCAGTCAGCACACCTTACATGCTCAGTCCCGTAAAGCTCGTTCTGTGGATGTTTGTATAAGTTTTGTTCTCGGTAATCAAGGGTCAAATTACTGCCTTTGTAATGTCCCCCTGGAGTGGCCATTTGTACTATTTTTTCTTGGCAATGCTCCGGGACTATAGGCAGTGTGCTAAGGTCCCTGCTTTCTGCGTTTATTTTGACTTACTGGCCAATGGAATGGAATGGAATGAAAAAACTTTATTTAGTCCTACAGGACGCGCTTAGCGCGTAGCGGGCGTCTCCCACGTAGGGACCGACAGGGAGTACCTGGCGGCCGCTTCGTGGGCCTGCTGGACGGCCCATTGCTGGTCAGCGAGAAGTGAGCTCCTGAGGGACCTCTCCCACTTGCTTAAGGTAGAGTCGGCCAATGATTCAAAGAATTGAACGGAGGCGGACGCTGCTTGTGCTTCATTGATTGATATGTGGGGTTTAACGTCCCAAAACCACCATATGATTATGAGAGACGCCGTAGTGGAGGGCTCCGGATATTTCAACCACCTGGGTGCACCCAAGTCTGAGCACCCGGGCCTACAATATTTCCGCCTCCATCGGAAATGCAGCCGCCGCAGCCGGGATACGAACCCGCGACCTGTGGGTACGCTGCTTGTGCTTAAAATCAATGTTGTCGCTGCTTAGCAGTTATACAGACTTCATACAGGCTTCGGCCTCTAATTTGTTTTAACGCATGTGAGCATAGATAAACGGAAACATGTAGTAATGCAGAAGCATGAAGTGCCAAACGTACTGTAAGGAATAAACAAAATAGAGGCAGCACCCTTGCTGCGAACAGGCTGTTCTATTCTGTGACTTCCATCTCTTCTACTTCCACCTCGCTGCCCGCGCACCCGAGCACCAGCGTCTTTCTTGGTAACCACACTCGGCCATGACTGCGAAGCGTGTGGAGAGGCCGTCAGTGCTTCTGGTGGCCGGAACTGGCTGAATCGCGGTTATCCGTCCCGGTCATGCCGCGCCTTGCGTGAATATCTTCCTCTGTGTTTTCCAGAGGTTGGAATTCGCTTTGTTGCTGCGCTCGGATTTTTCCACAATTTGACGTCTTCTGAAAACTTGCCAACAATGTCTCTGGCGGGTGTACTTGACTGTTTCTTAATTGCTGCAGGTCAAGTTGTTGTCTGTTCCGTCGTATTTGTACAAACAGGACAAGAAATCGCGTATTCGCAACCGTTGAATGCCGCGATGGGTGGACTTTCTCGCGCTGTTCGTGAAGGGTCCAGCTGCGGCAGTGGCATCTCCCGCCCGTTACTGAAGAAGTGGCGCTAAGCATCTGTGATGAGTGTTGACGATCGATGCACACCATGGCCTAGCGGTACCTTTGATGTGCTCCCCGAGATGCTCGTAGTGGTGGTCCCCGACAAAGTGTTGCAAGCATTGGAGTCATAGCACTCCTAATTCTTATCACCAGCCAAGGATTGACGCTCCGCCATGTAGCCCTCGATGGCACTGACCACAGGAGTCCAAGGCACGTCGAAATTATCTATGGAACGCTTTGCTCAGAACGTTTCGCGCACAGCAAACTTAGAACGCTTTGCGCATAAGAAACGTCCAGGTGCTTCCCATTCAATGAGTGCCATGGCGGCCACGCATATGGGTCCGGCTGGTCAAGACTCGTCTTGTCAAGATCTCTGGACACGCCTGGATCATGTAGTGATAGGGCACCCATCATATTCGCGGCATCCGTGTAGACATACGGGTGCACTGTTAGGGTGTTAAAGGGTTACTGACACAAAAACTTAAGCCTCGCGTTTTTCTGCTGCAATGAGTTGGTGTAGGGCTGTTAGTCATGACACGACACATCGTTTGCTGCCGCACGCGACAGATAATTATAGGCTGCTCAATATCAATCAGTTTTGATTTGTGAGAGTTCCAAAAACTGGGTGCAACTGTCACCTACTAGCGTGTGGACTCTTGATCACGTCAGCACACATAACCGTGACGTTCTTCCACACAGTCCGCACCAAGAATTGCTTTCGAATAGGAAACGGCACTGGAAGGTCGCCAAACACAAAACTTTCCAAGCGTGCGCCACGGCCACGCACTCGCAACCAGCCGCCGAGAAATATAGACACAGGGGACTAACGCGGCAAAAGAAAAATGGCGGCTATGACGTCATCGTAACTTGTTTCGTTGACTGCCGCGTGGTGACGTGAGGGCAGTAAGGGGTCCCCTCGGGATCCCCTCCATTGGTGTCTGTGGCGCTATGGAGTCGGTCGCTCACGAAAACTTCAAAAGTAATTTAAAATACCTTCCAAGCTACAATGGTTGTTCATATTGCTACGTAGCTGACATATCAAGGGTCAGAAGACGAGAACAAGGAAGTGTACAGTCGGTTGTGCGAGCTGTCCTCCATCTTAGTCGATGCTATACGCATCAGTTTCAATATAGATTTTAAATAGACACGCTTCGGGTCATTTTTACGTAACATCTTTGTGGTGGAGGTGCTGGGTACTTCCCTGTCTTCATCACGAAGCTCAGCAACAGCCACATGATCATAGGTCCAACCACGTCACAGGTTGAACAACCATCGTCTTCACCACCTGCACCTTTCGTGACTTCTTCGTACGTCGTTCTACCTCATACTCATGATTCCGGGTTATTTTCCGGTCAGGATGGCGTTGACGTCGACAAATGGATCAACCGGTATGAATGGGTCAGCGCAAGCTATAGGTGGGACCCGACTCTTATGCTGGCCAATGTGCTTTTTTTACCTCGATGGCTCACCGCGGGTGTGGTTCGAGACGCACGAAGCGGAGATTACAAGCTCGTACTCCTTTAAAGAGAAGATCCGCGACTTTTTTGGCGACACTGTTGGGCGGCAGATCTCAGCGCGGAATCAATTGGTGGCTCGTGCACAGACGTCGACGGAGTCGTACGTCGCGTACATTCACGACGTCATCGCCCTATGCCGCCAGATTGACGACCACATGAGTCTGTCTGAGAAAGCGGCACATGTGCTGAAAGGCATAGCAGACGCACCTTTGATCTTCTAGTATACAACAACGTTGCCATCATCGACGCCATTATTAAAGAGTGCCGGCGGTTCGAATAAGCCAAGAGCCGCCGTATTACTCAGCGATTGCCGATGATATACTAATGTTAACGAGAATCGACCCCGAAGGCTATCTCGGCCCCAAAATTCTGTGTCAGTACTCCTTTAGGTACGACGGGTGCAAGTGGCCCGAATCGTCCAAGTGATGACGAGCATGGGGGAAGCTTTCCCGTTAGATGTGGCTGGAGACCACTCTGGGCTACTGGCAGGGTTGTTTTGGCGTCGGTTGCCGAGGCAGTGTTGCAGCGAATCTTCAGCATAGGGTACGTACTAGGCCTGGCTGCGCAGCTATCTGCTGGTGAAGTGTAGTTCATGGTTGCAACCTCGAGGAGATGGCCTTCGAGGTTGGACTCCGAGAGGTATTGCATTGGCATGAACGTATCCAAGGTCCTCTAGTGAGGAAACGGAAGATGATCGGGTTTATAAACGTAACACACGGCATCTCCTTCCGACTCTTGAACAGTGGACAGCAAGTGTGAGTGCTTATGATTGTGATTGCTCAGACACAATGTCTGCTAACTGTGGTGGCCCTGCATCAAGTAGCGCCATTGATGCTACAGCGTACCATTCTACACCAAACCCTCGTGTGGCGCCCGCCACTCGTCTTTCGGTACCAGCGACACCGAACTACGCTCCATCGCCTCCCAGGCTGACTTTAGTTAAAAGAAGATTGGGTGCACCACGGTGTCACCGCAGCGGCTTCGTTACAACGCGGCCACTCAAATAACCTGAATTTTCATTGTCAACTCTTGCCCTGCAGAGGATGTACTCGGCATGCGCTCCTGCACTGCCTACATTACCACAATAACACAGCTATCACGTATTTCGCTAATATAAAACTGCGACAATGAACCATAAATGATTCTTGTTGCTACCCTGATGTGTTTTCCGAGTCCTCACTACACCAACATTTGCAATAGTGCACGCCACAGGAATTGGGTAAGCTCCTCTAAAGTCTACAGCAGGTACGAGCGTTTTATGAAATCTGTGGTTGGCGCAAGACGAGTCTTTGAAACACGTGTGAGGTAGAAACAAAATAACAGAATAAAAAACAAAGAGAAAGTAGAGAAGGTTAGGGAAGATAGAGAAGAAAAGATAAAACCAGAAGCGAAATAGTATAAAAGCAGATAAAGACGTTAGAAAAATAAATGCACGGAAAAGAGACCAACACAACCAGTAAGACGGAAGTGGTAGAAAGCGAAATATACAAAGAGGCAGAGAGTAAGGAAGCAGTAGAAAAATACACGGAAAGAAGGAAAAAGAAATATAAATAAATATGGGAAAGGGAGATGTGAAAAAGAAAGACAGAAACACGAGAAACAATCAAAAAGAGAAAAGGCACAACGAGTGCGAAATATTAGTGCTTTCTAGAGGGCCCACGCGGATCGGCTGCACTCCTAAGGTGAACCATTTACCGTCAACACCACACTGACAAACATCTAATGGTAGATTGCGACTGCCTCCCTCTGTTCAGTAAACCAGATATACTTCCATTAAGAACACCTTTTTTCTCAAGGCTCCTTGGCCACCGCCATAGTTCACTTTAGGCTGTTGTTAGTGCACACATCCCCCTAAACAATGGTTTGCGAGCCTTTCACGTCGGCTTTTGTACTCTTGTGCAACAGCCCAGGAGGGAGGAAATCCTCCTTTCCGTAAAAAAAGGTTAATAGAAGTAACTTAATGACACAAACTGCTTAACCATTTGAAATAAATTAGCGGTAAAGGTAGTGACTACCACTGCTCAGAGGAAGTGATTTTTTTTAAACAGCGGTGTACACCTTTCCTTCTTCTTGTCTGTGAAATTCGGTGCAGTGCTGAATGCTTCGTTGTTAGTATAATAACGTTAATTTTACTTCAGGTAAATAGCTCCAGCAATCGCCCTGCTCAGAGGCGTTCATTGATTCATTTTATTTTTCCGAATACTGCTAAGTACCTACGCATAACCTGTCGCTACCCGCTAACTTTTGAATATGCTTAGCACTTTCATATACTTCAAATAAAAGCTTACGGCCAAAAAACACTCTACGAATGTGAGACATGATTTGATGGGGCAGTACCTATTGCTGTCGTTGACCAAGGCTTCGTTAACGTGCCTCTCACGACAGGTGCTACCACAAAAATACGTACTATACATGGAGTTAGCAAATCTTCAATGATGAAATTCTAAAAAGGGGGGAAGGTGGGAGACAAAAACAGACAGCGAGCGTACTCAGTTCGCTTGCTTGTTTTACGCTTTGCAAGTGGCTTGTATCCACTACCAGGAATCAACAACAGGCTGTTACTATTATTGAAAGCTTTCAGAGGATTCTATCACCTCTTTATTTCGGTAGCCTCGTATGTAGCGTAATTGAGTTACATCAGTTGGCAGCGTGCTGCTTTCAAAAAAAAAAAAACCTTGCTGGATCATTCACTCGTGAGAGAGTTAATACATCGGTTGGAAGATCATCTAAAGTGGCTAAAGGCCCTCGGAGTCGCCCCTAGCCACCATAGTAATGGTTTGTACGTGCGATGTGTGCAAATTTTATGTTTCGTGGCATGACACGTGTTGTAACTAGACATTCCAGAACAAATCTGAGACGTATTGCTGTCCTGACAGAAATGGCGCGGGACTTGAGACAATATATGTGCAATTAGGGCAATCCTGTGAAATCCAGGGCATTGGTTAGCCTAGCTCTGAATTGTATCAAGGCATAAAGTTGAACACGCACACTCAACTTAACAAATGAACAACTCACGTATCAGCTACAACGGTGAGTTTTCCTCACTGATTGTTTGCGGGAGGGTCAAATGAAGGGCGTTGAAATGAGAGTCTGCAACGCTTCCGCACATTGGACGCCGTAATAGTAGCGTCATTAAATGTACTGCCTAACGTCGTCCATGAGGCAGAAGATTTACACTTATGTAATGTTGGACACGGCTTTATGCAACAGATAGTATTACATATTAAAAACGCTGGAACTGCAAGTCTAGGCTTACCCGATTTGCACCATCCATCTTCGTCGAACAGCTCGGCAGATTCACGTGGCCTTTTGTAGTATCCTCTCACCATAGACGGAGTTCGAAAGCAAATTTCCCCTATCTGGTGTGGGCCGAGTTTTTCACGGGTGCTGACGTCGACAATCTAAACAAAGCAATGTAATGGCTGTAGCAGGTTACTCACATACAGAATTTTCCCCGATAAGACGCAATTCTGGAATCCTGAAGGTAAAACTCTCAATTTACTTTTGAAATTCTCTCTTTTTTGGGGTATTTTAGCCAGCAGTTCTACGAAAAAGCAAGAATGCATAAATTACAGCTTTCACGAACGTAGCCAAAGCTAGCATCGCCCCGGTAGGCTAGTTCCAGTGGCAACGCCGCAATTTCGCTGTGTACTTACTCAGTACACTTCTGAACAGTTAGCAGTTATACACAAACCTATAGCAACTGCAAGCGCTGTCGCAATACTTGAAACATATCTTTTACTAGCTGTTTCTTTGAAACAAAAAATAATAACTATGAGTAATTTGCTCGAGTCGATGTTTCAAGGAGCGGACACGACTTTTCCCGGGCAAGAACTGGTCAGTTCTAGGTTTGAAAAAGACAAGTTCCCTTCTCGAAACGTCGCCCAGAGCATAAAATCTCTGCTCTTCGGACTTTTTTTTTGTCGAAAACTCTCACCTTCTCCTCCATGCCGTTTTTTGCTTATTTGGTGTAAACGTATCTGTGGAACAATACAAGACAGAAGCACAGGGCAACGTCGAGGTGGTGAAAAAACTGTTGAACAGAGAATGCCGCTGCAGACAATGCCTTCACAAGTTGACATCCATTTCGCCGGAGCAGCATCTGGCTGTCTGAATTCCTTACCATAACTTCCTCAGTAACACCATTATAAATTCTAACCTATTCCCCTACTATGTACACGTGCTCTTTCTTCTCCTTAACTTTTAAGGTTGGGAGAGTATCAGAAACGCGCTCATAAAGAAGATGCCAAGAACATCAGTTACAGTCATGGCTAAGACAGCGATACTTTCGGAATGTGTCCTCTAGCGACATGCCATATCAATGACCCTTTATTATTACTGGTTTTTATGTTGAACCCTTTCATGCGTGGCTAATGGGAAAAATTTACATCCGTAAGTGATACTGTGGAAAACTTACATCCGTAAATTTCCCGCAGTATCACTTCAAGGCGCAAAGTTTTATTGCAACAAAAAAAAAACGTGCCAAGACGTTGACACACATATTTAGAGTCATTACCCATGCCTAAATAATTTTGAAAATACGATTCACCTCAAGTCATAAATGACCTTTTTTGACATAGCATCAAAGATCAGCCTAAAACGTTAGGAAGTTTCGTTCTAACCAATGTCAATATGAAGAAAAAAATAAGTACTCTTGATGAGTCTCGTGGTCGAGCTTCTCATCAAGGATAATGGCAGTTTAGGTAAAGTGACCGTATGCAAAAAAAATAAAAATAAAACCGTAGCTAACTGGCTACACTTTATCACTCAAGAGGTTCAGTTCTTCTAATGCTGAAGGTATTTGATGTTTCATGAGGAGTACTCTGCACAACTACCAAAACAAATTTTGTACACAAATCATTTTAGTACTTTAAGCAACAGTAACTAATCTCATTTTAAGATATCACTTATAGACTAATCTGAGTAAGTGAATTGCCGTATTTTCTTCACAAGGTCGAAGCAGTGAATGTGATTGCAACAAACTTGAATGTTACGCGAAGAACACCAACGAGATGAAAACGTGCAGTGCACCGCTTAAGACGAAAGAACACTAAAAATACACATGAAGGACTACCGTGATCTAACAACGTTTACAGTACGACACCCAACGCCATACTTAAATACAAAGGACGCTGAAGGATATATGCGCACGTATAATGAAGATGAACGCAAACCTATTTAACAGTTGTTACTCCGTTGTGTTTAAAAAGTGCACAGTTTTCACAAACGGAGTAACAGCAGAAAGCAAAGTGACCTTCGTGCGCCCTGTAACTCCTACGCAATCACTCAGCTGAAAGCCCAAGGAGTATTATTCTACACCATGCGACATGAGCGCGTCCTCGTGCACAGCGGATCCACGCACCATAGGACAAAGTACACGAGCGAGAGGCCGAGACATAACCCCGATATTTTGAAAAGTAACCACACTCCTTGATCCACGCCATCTCACTTTCGCCGCGCCGTCAACCTCCCCTTTTTTGATCCCGTCATCCGCAGTGCTGAATGGCTGGGAAGAGTGCTACTAGCTAATCATGTGATCCTGACGTCACCCAAACCACGCGCAAACAAACTTCGTGTGATTTTCTTTCACCACGGCCGCCATGAATCCTCCAGGCTACCCACGCCTAACATGCTTCCGAGTTGAATTCTGAGTTTCGCTCGTCGTGGCATTGCGCCGCTGCTGCGCGTTTCAGTGCAACAGCACGTCAGAACATTTAGGAGCGAAGCCCTTCGTGGTGTGGGTCTGTCCTTGCGTTGGTATGTAGCCACCACGCAAATATCCTAATATGAAATGCAAGATAGTCGTGTACTTGTATCCAGGCGCGCTTTAAAGAACCATAGATTTTCCCACTGCGTCCATCTCTTGTTTCTACGTGACCGCCTACAGTTCCACCTTTCCAAACTGCCCACTACTTCGTCCTTGCAAACATTCCGCTACGCCCATCACCGATCCATCACTTCACCGATCGTAAAGCCGTTATAATGAAGAGGTAACGGAAGCGACGAACAGCTACCACTTACCAAAAATAAATTTCTTGTATAAATATACACAGTGTTTGTCATGTCTTTGATGATGTAGTGGGCGATATTCACGAATCATTCGCCATTTAGCGATGAAACCCTCCAGCTATTCGCCCAACTCGGCATAATTCACTCCGTGATAATGCTGGGATTTTTTATTCTCTGAGGTAAACTATAATACATTCTCTGATTCGAAAAAAAAATTCCGTGCGCATGAAGCAGAGGATTCAAAACATCGACAGAAAAAACTTTGCCTTTTGAAGCACGTACTTCTCCGCGAGGTAACTGTAGATAATTTCCCTATATATCTGGATGAAGTTGCACTCACAATAAAATGCTATGGCATAACCAGATCGTGCATTGAGTTCAATGGCGAGCACATATAAATATTGGTATAGCTTTTAAATGCGAAGCATTTCTTAGCGAACTTCGCGACTTGAGCATCTATCTATCTATCTATCTATCTATCTATCTATCTATCTATCTATCTATCTATCTATCTATCTATCTATCTATCTATCTATCTATCTATCTATCTATCTATCCGCTTACGTTTGGGTGCTCTCGTGGTCACATCTTTAATTTAGGGTGAACCAAAACTAGCACGGGAGGGTAAGATGGTTTGACGAATAGGAAGCACTAGCAAACACATGAATACTGTCACAATCCCGTCGCGTACATCATCAAACACTACCCGACAGACAATGTCACATTCCTACGGGAAGGTATGTGCCGCTGGTATGCGGGTATGTGCCACAGGTGATTGACACTTGGTATCTACCCAGGAATGGCGAGAACACACATGGGAAATTTTAACGCGCGAGCGTTTAGAAATACCCGACATTTGTAGCGTGACCCGACGAATGCAAAGAGTAAATGTCAGGGTCCACCTGGAATCAAACCAAAGCATTCTGCATGGCAATGACGCATTCTAGCACAAGGCTACACCAGGTCTCGGAACTACTTTTCAAGTACACGCTAATCTTCGTGAAATGTCAATAGTGGTTACAGCGCTGCCTACCCCATTTTATAAACATTACTTATGTACTCCTTTGATATCCCTATCGGAAAAATTGCCATGGTGGATACTGGAAAACATGGTGGGCGTAGTGGAAATAATAGTGGGCATGGTGGAAATTATGATGGCTATGGTGGGACGTAGTGGAACATATGGTGGTTATGCCGGGACATACTGGGTGGTATGGTGTACAGACGATGGGTAAAGTGGAAATGATGGTGGAAAGCAGAGGCTAGATAGTGGGCAATAATGGGACACTCTGCCCACCATTGCGATAATGCTGGGAAGCCCTAAGCATATGGTGGGTGGCGCTTATTATGGTGGGCTACATGGTGTACCAAGCTGAGAAACTCTTCCCACCATTGCGATAATGCTGGGAAGCACTAAGCAGATCATGGGTGCTGCTTGTTATGGTGGGCCACATGGTGTACCAAGCTGAGAAGCTCTGCCCACCATCGCGATAATGCTGGTAAGCAGTAAGCAGATGATGGGTGGGCTTATAATGGCGGGCAATTTATATAGTGTACCAAGCTGGGATCTGTACACTACATGTTCTACCACCATGATTTCCACCAAAAGTTAGGCCTAGTGACCGAGCCCGTACAATTGTGTTATCCGTGCTTCCGGGTTTCAGAATACACGATTACGACGATTAAGTATAAAAATACAGCGCAGCCATATGTCATCAATTAACCTAAATGAAGCATTTTTCATTGTGTATGGTGTCCGCTCAAGAAGCAACAAACATCGATGCGACGCGATTAAAGCACTCCCAGAGAACGTATTAAGTGTCTCCTCACCGACAGCGGCCGGTTGCACTCGCCGGCACTTCTCTAGCTCTTGTCCGAGAACTCAGACATGGCAATTCGTGTGCTTGGTGAACCAATATGATAGCGTAATGTTTCCGGCACACTGCATTCGTTTTGGCCAAGCCGTTATGTAGTTGTTGCTTTAGCGAAAGAGCTACAGCATTGCGCTGCCGCGACCGCCCTCTACATTGCGCGAAAAGCATCGCAATACTCAATCAAATAAATTAGGCGGGCGTATCTATGGAATGAGCCTAGAAGTGTCATAAAGCGTGAGCAGATGTCGCCCTTTAGAACGAGCGCGAAACGGATATTAAACTTGGCAGACCCCGCCGGTAAACTGTTGCTGCTCCCCAGTCCACTTGGTTTTTTTCTTGAAGTTGTCAATTGTAAAAAAAATAGCACTAGTGCCATTAACATAGTGGCAATCGTTACAGGCCGCAGGTGGTTGTGTTTAATAAATGTGCAATTTTTAGTAGCAGGTGTAGATCTTGTCTATGTTGTGTACACGACAAACATAACTTGAGCCTTAAGTTTGTATGCCAACTAAGTATTTAACACAATGTCAACGTCATGTTGGTGTGGCGCAGTGGTTAGCGTCTCCAAATGAGAATGCGCAGGTTGCACGTTCGATCCTCCGCGGCGCCTTGTTTTCTTTTTTTTTCGGGACGGGTGTTTTTTATACCGTTTTTATAGAATTCTTTTTTATTTTTTGTGGCAGCTCGTCACGGTGATTCTGACGTCATTTTGCGCTCAAGTGTTGCCGGCACTGCAGCACCCACCATACCCACCATGCGCCATGGTGGGCGTTTCCCACCATTCACCCACTACATTAATCCACTATAATGGTGGGTGGTGGTTTCCACCATGCCCACCATTCGTTTTTTTCCGATAGGGATAGCCACCACGTCGAGTTAACATCAATTGTGGTTAGTTCCTATGCGCGGAAGTTGACTTATGTAGCAGTGTCTAAGGCCAGCCTCCTAGCGAGCATCAGCGCTTCATATCAGCTTCTTGTGTTGCTAACACGCATGTTCCAGTTGGCATCATTGCGCAAGTATAAACAACTGGTTATATGAACATCTGCAACTATTCAACACATGTCTGTGCGTGAAACTCTTCCACATATATTTACCGTCATTTTATGAAGTGTCGCTCAATAAAAAAATTCAACACGGTAACCTTTCCTCCACATGCTTCGCATAACGTTCATTCCCAGTTACGTAGGATTTGTCGATTTTTTTCTGAGTGAGTCACTATGCTATGTTGTTTTGTTTGTGCCCTGACGAATCTTTGTTGTGTTTGAGCGCGTGCGTTGGTTTTCAATGTATGCAACTGGTAAGCTAACGTGTGTAACTTGTTAGCTTACATAACTTAGGTAAGCTAACTTAGGTCCTAACTTGTAGTTGTGAACGTGTGTTTGTGTGTGCGCTTGCGCAGGCATGCATTTTTGCGTACATATATGCCTGCGTGTGAGCTTTGTTTGTGTTTCTCTGTATTTGCACGCTAGCGAGCACTTGAGTGTGCGCACGTGTTTTTGCGTGTATGTATGCGCGAGTGTGCGCTTGCATTTGTGTATGTCTAAACTGCAAATATGATGTACCATACTATTAGAAACTTTTGTATGACCAGTCACCTTTTTTTAGGAACGAGGTAAGTCGCAGAGGTAATTGAATACAATATCTCGTCATTCCACCGTGACGGAGTGAAGGCACGGGCACTGTCGTTTTGCTAACACTGTGGCTTTTAGGTACTCTGGCTTTCTGGATACACTACACAAATATTTCGTGTTGGTGTCGGTATAAATGGACGTAAGGTCCACTTGTTTTAGGAAATTTATCAAGTACATTCTACATTTTTTGTAGACTAGCTTCTTTCATCTCGTCATGGTCACAGTAAATGAAACAAAACTCAGTGTACACCTTATGCGCTTACACTATAGCGCCTAACATGTCTCCGCGTTATAGACAGCAGAAGCGTAGACAGGGTAAACCACTCTGCCGCTAGACGGTACTCATTTCTTTGGAAAGGCTTCCACTTTATTCATCGAACAGCATAAAAATTATATCATCCACTATGTTGTACATCAAGCCTCTTTCTTTTAATCAAGGTGGGGTTTTCAATTGACAAATCCTCGTTGACCGCATCGAAGCAGCAGAATAAACAAAGCGTGCGCACTGATTCCATGGAGCTACAGCAAACCAGTGGATAATTCAGCGTGATCTGCGCGCCACTCCAACCAGGAAAGGGTAAAAATCCGAGCAGAGTCGAGGAGGAAAACGGGCACTCGGAGGAGAGTGTTGCTATTTTCAAAATATCTGGGCTTTACGCCGAGGGCGTCCTTCGTTCCATGTCGCTGGAAAAGCTGAGAACACGCTAATATTTTTACTAAGATCGGCAAAGTGCAGTGGTAAAAATTGTATATGAATAGCTTGCCGTTGCAAAGGCCAATGCCGTGCGCTGCGGAGCGTGTGGTCATCCGTTCAAATACGATCATCGGAAAATACTTTTCTAAGTATTTTTATTCCTGGCTTTTGTATTTATATGGACTTATAAACATGCGGGGCATGACGGTGGAGGCATACGACGTCGACTAACGGTGACGCCAAAGGCAATGCTCAGCCTATAGTGTCCATAGAAGAGCTATCTAACAAAATGCCTACAACATCAATCCAATATCTTAGATATAAAAAAAAAACTAGATGGCACCAACATCTAAGCACTATCCTGGCGTTTCTGTTTTGGTTATGGCGGAGGTGTGAGAGAAAGCAAAAACAGGAAAGGCAGGGAGGTTAACCAGACGAGCGTCCCATTGGCTGCCTTACAGAGTGGATAAGAAATTAGGGGTTTAAAAAATCTGACACATAGGTCATAAACAAATGAAGTATAATTGAATAATAGTGCATAAAGTGTTAGCAACAAGATAATATTGAAAAAAAGGAGGCGTAAAGCGTTACCACATTCCTTGTTGGAAGCTACTCGCTTCTGCTATAAAATATTTTGTTTGAAGAGAATGTTTACTTTGCTGATTATGCTGCACAACTAGCCCACAGAGCATGCGTATTTGCTAATTTTAAACACGTTCATGCACATGTATCAGCCCTGTTGAATATGATGTCGTCATGAAATTATCTCGTGCACGGCGTACCACCTAAACCTCACCAGACGTCGAAAATATGCCGACGCAATTAATAATAATGCGACCACATGCATGTTGTTATCTGATGATGTGACTTCCATTTCGTTTACCAAGCCAATCACATGAAGCAGTTCATGCATCCTTAGCGTAACAGGACAGTGCTGTAACGTACAATACTCATATCTGATTCTCTTGCTTTCAAAGAGAATCAACTTTGGAAGACAGTGCATACTGCACATATTAGTAAACTGCAAATGAGTTCAAACATTCGTTTTACTTGCAGTAACAACCAAATAGCAAGATTTCAATGTGCGTGGCAGTAAGCTCATGACTTTGTATTGTTGCTTCCCTGCAAATAGTAACAGTAATTGTGTACTTTTATGGTCACGAGCCTCCTAACATCATACTTACCACTTGCACTTGCTAAATAGGCAATGAATGTTGTGATAATTACGTGTAACTTCAATGTTAGTAAACAATACTAATTTCTCAAGAAATACTAAAGGATCCGCCGTACTTTACTGCGATAAAGGAAGTCTTTTTTATAGGGAAAGAGCTGATAGGTGTAATACATGGCAGTTCTTGAATAGCGCTTCTTAAACGCGCACAGACGTGCTCACACCGTGGCTGATATGAATGACGGTGCTTAATTTTTCTGACCCTGAAAAATCGTTTCTCGTGTAGAAAAAAGCCGGTGGTATGAAATATATCATTTTTAATATAAAAATCTCTTGTAAAAACAATATGGGGTGGGCTGCTCGTGATTTTTCTTGCATAGATACGGATCTCACACGCCGTTTCTCCAATAATTCGGTGCAATATTCAGTCCATATGTTCTGACCAGTTTGAGATCCCTGTTTTCCTGCAGGCTACTCAGCGACCGTGCGGCACCACGAGGTGCCGGAGGCACAACCGATGGACGTCAGTGTGACGTCATCAGACAAGTCATAAACAGAGCGTTAGCATTCTTTTGCTCTAAAATGATTTATTAACGTATGACAACATAGAAAAGCGATTACTGCGTCCCGTGTTGTATACTGTGCAACACCTTAACTGATCTGCTTGATTCTGCTTTCATGAATGTCCAGGCTGCATCACGTGTGCATTCGGGCTTTCTCGAATACCTTCGCTCGCTTAGTGCAACATAGCTGTTTTTTTTTCTCACTGATTGCGTTAGGTTCCGTTTGACGCTGTGTTTTGAGTGACTTTGTCCCCACCATGCTAGTTGTGTGCATCGTCAAACTGTGCAGTACAGCTTATAAAAGAGGAAGTAATGCCTTTTCGGTTTTGCAATCGAATTTGTACAATGCTACGAATATCGATTAGCGGTCGCTGGGAAAATATTACTGCGTCGCTATGATTTTTTGACGACATGGACTTTTTATTTTCTGTATTTTGGCGTCCGCTGTAGAGTTGAGAAGAAAGTGAGCTAAGGATTGCCATTGTATTTTTAAAATTTTTTAATAAACCCGGGCGACGACACAAGGTCGAGTTTGTGTTGAAATATGAGCGCACTACTAAGACGCGGACAGAAAGACAGGGACAAGTGCTTACTACCATCTGAAAATGATGTATCACCAACTCGACCAATCAACCATACAGACAAGGTCGAGGTATTGTATAGAATACATGACGCGACTTCCGAACACAGAAGTAGTTGAAAATTTTCAGAAAACTTTTGGCGACTCCTTTAAGATGTCCAGTTCTACACATATGTAACCATAATGTTACAGGAAACATCGACGAATCAGGTGCAAGTGCTACTCGGAACGGCAACATGAGTTTGCTGTGATCTACCTTCAGAGTGACTCCGGTTGCAGGAATTCCAACACTCGTACTGTTTTGACATTTGGAAGACTTCGGATGAGCCGTCAAAACACCGCAAGACTCCGTCATGGCATATAGATTAAAGAGTTGCTCGAGACCACTGAATGTTTCATAGGCTGCTTTTGCTACGGATGCCGGAACCACGCTGCCGCCAGTACCAATTCTGCGGACAGTTGGTAACCTTCTTCCTAAGTGACGCATCTCACGCACCACAGCTTGAAGCTGTGTGGGAAATAGGAATGCTGTCGTCACCTGCAATTAGAGCAAGGTAATCGTAAATGTACAGAAAAGATATGCAGAAAGACATCACTGGTAGTTATTAAAGTAATATAAAGACCACTACTTCGAATATTTGTACACCTCAAAAGCCGATTCAGAGCCAGTATAACTGAAGATAATGCTACTGCCAAATGTCACCTTTGAAATGCAAATGGCACAAGGTCCCCAGAAAACCAGCCATACGCGCTCAACTGCGGAAGCGAAGGAAGCTGAGATGTCAGCCTGAGTAGTGCATGTGCGGGAGCACTCCCCCCCCCCCCTCCAACTTCCTGTCTCTCCTTGTGTTTCTATCGCTCCACTAAACTCACTTGCGTGGCATTCAACTGTTCACACTGTTGTCTTTCGGTGGGGTTTAATGCAACAGTTCTCGTACTCGTTGTCATCACTCTCCTATCAGTAGATGGTGGACAAGTACCGTTGGTGTGTGTGGAAGCTGCACAAATTAGTGCAGCACGATATACGCATTGCATAACTGTGTCATCAACGATTCAATGCAGCGCTTATAGCGCTTTGCAATCGCAGCCTCTGATATATGACGTCCTAATGTGCCTTCAGAAACATCAGAGACAACTGCGGAAACAACGTTTCACTAAGCTTAGTAGGGCCAGTGCCACCTTGGTGAAATGGTAAAACACCCTGATGCCAGCGTCTGGTCGAATGCCGGAATCGAGGTGCCGAGGTGCCGAGGTGTCGAGGTGCCTGCCTGCCTGCCTGCCTGCCTGCCTGCCTGGCTGCCTGCTTGCCTGCCTGCTTGCCTGCCTGCTTGCCTGCCTGCCTGCCTGCCTGCCTGGCTGCCTGCCTGCCTGCCTGCCTGCCTGCCTGCTTGCCTGCCTGCCTGCCTGCCTGCCTGCCTGCCTGCCTGCCTGTCTGCCAGGTGAGCTGTGCTGATGAAGCTTCCGGGGCGCGCGTAGGGGCAGGGGCTGCTATTCAAAGTAGGATTAAGATGCTACAGAATTAATTGGTGCAGATCAGGCAGAACAATGTTGCATTTATGAATTAGAATAGAAAACTCAGGGATAAAAATTACCTTCTGAAAAACGGGGGGATTACACGCAACGAGGAAACCTCACAGGTTATTACGGATGAAAAAAGCGCAGAATGGACGAAGAGGTAGCAGTCCTTACCCCCAATAAACGTAAACCAGAGAACGCTCCGATTAAAAGCGTGGTAAAGAAACCCAAAGCAGTGGCGACGCCACAAGAAGGACTGGAGGAATTCACAAACATCATGGAAGTAAAAATAGAATAGATTGAAGGCGAATTGCAAGCTAAGCTCGAACAACAAGAAGTTAGATTTGAGGCGAAAATTGAGGCGCTAGGCAAGAGATTATTGCAGAAAGTGCAGCAAATGGTGGCTGATTCGGACGCAAAGCTAGCAATATGGGGATCGCAGACAAGTGGTGGGGGCCCAGTTAAGACGTCTTTCAAGCCATACGGTGGGACCTCGGTGCCCACTGAGGGATCGAAGAGCCTGTAACGCCACCACGGCAGACAAAATCTCTACATGATTTGGCAATGGTATTGTCGAGGATATAATCGGAAACGATACATTTTGCAACAACATCTTAAGGACACCAGTGCCCCGGATTTTATAATGATGCTAGAAGCGCACGGGCTGGCCAAATTGTCGGGAGATAAGTCATTCGACAGAGCCAATTGGGAGACAAAGGTATTAGCAATGTTGGTTAGGCGAAATCACGCGGTGGTTCAACACGGCACGAAAATTAAGGCAATTATTCGCATTCTCCTCGAACTCATACAAATCCTGAAAGCAAAGGACAGTCTCTTTGTAATAAATATTTACAGCAGTCTTAAATGCAGAGAGCACAAATTCTGCACGCTGTTTCACGAAACACTCGCTATAACGGGCAACTGAGCGCTGGTGATTGGAGGCGATTTCAACGCCCCGCACGGTGCATGAGGATACAGGATCGAAACCCAGAAAGGCAAGAACTTGTGGCTGACGCTCGTGACCGATTGATAATTTCCTACAAGAACAGGTACTAGCATTTGCACTGATACCACGCCAGATTTGACGTTCACAAAAAATTAGCTGCACACGCAGTGGACCAATGCGCAACATGATTTGGGAAGCGACCATTCTACACTTGAAATACGGTAAGAGCAGGGCCGCGGAAGGCAAAAGGCAGACAACTTGAACTTGTCGACTAGGACAAGTGTAGGAACATCAGAGAGGAGCCCGACAAAATGATACAGAGTATTGAGGAATGGACCGAAAAGATGAAACAATACGTGGAGGCAGCTACGCAAACAGTGTCATCGCAGGCGCAGCTAGAGTGTGTAGACAATAAGCTTCTCCACATGAGAAAATCTAACGAAGGTTTACAACGGAGGTGAAAACAGCAAAAACACAATCGAACACTTCGTAGAAGGATAGCTAAATTGAACAGGGGTATAGAGCATAACGCGCAGCAGCTGTGCAGACAACAGTGGGAGAAAAAAGGCGATCACATGGACAACCAGATAGGAATGGTGAAAACGTGTAAAAACCTTTCACATTTGTTAAAACCGGACAGGAACAAGTTGGCAGAAAGGCACAATATTAATTGGTTAATACAAACGAATCAAGGCTCAGAGCAGGATTTCCTCAATGAAATCAAGAAAACATACATCTCTCAAGCGCTTCCTGTTACACACCTTGATCACACAAGGCTGGCAAATGATAATCAAGACAACGAGATCGGTGAGGCAGAAGTGAGGGCCGCCTTGCAAAAACTCAATACTAAATCAGCACTTGGACTAGATGGCATAACGAACAAAACGCTACCCACTTTGGATGATGAGTCCATAACTAAGTAAACTAAATTCATTAACAATTATGTAAGGTAGGACAGATTCCCCAACAATTTAAAACGGCAAAAATTGTGTAAGCCACGCAAGCGACGGCAGATTGCGAACTTGAGACTCGTATTCCTCATATCTTGCGTTAGGAAACTCATATGCACTTCCACTCACAATGGTAGTGTTCAGGAGGAAGCTCTCAACGCAAGACGCAATGCTACAGTTAAACATCAGATTATAGATGATCCGGGAACAGCGAGAAAGACCATTTAAGGGTTAGACCTCAAGAAGGCCTTTGATAATGTAACCCACGCCACGGTGCTGAAAAGGGTAAACGATCTAAGACTTGCACAGCAGGCGTACGATTACGTACGTAATTTCCTGACAGGGAGGATGGAAAAGATCATAATAGGGGGCCTAGTTTCAGAGGAGATTGAGATGGGCAGTGCAAGTACGTCGCAAGGTTCGGTATTATCGCCTATATGTTATACAATCTGGTTCTAGTTGGACTGCCGGCCAAGCTCCAAGCAATCGAAGGACTCATTAAAATAATATATGCAGACTAAATCACCCTATGGGTGAGAAATTGGAGTGATGGGCAAATATAGGGAACACTTTAAACAGCAGTCGAAATGGTCGAGCGTTATATGGAAGGTACCGGACTAGCCTGTTTTGCGGGATACTCGGAGCTGTTGTTGTACAGAACTACTCAAAGAGGTCGCAAACCAGCAATGATACTCGCCACAAGTAACGAGACAGCGGTAGAGGCAGCCATAGCGCTCCCAGTAGCCTGCAAGGTCTCGCTCATAGAGAAGAAATACAGTTAATAACATCCAATGGAAAAACCATAACCATAGTCGACAGGATCAGGGTACTGGGCCTGCTCATCGAAGCCAAGGGCAACAATGGAGAAACCCTCAGTAGGCTGGGTGCAACTTCAGACCAAATAATGAGTCTCATAAGAAGAATAGCAACTGAGCACAGTGGCATGAGGAAGGAAAACACAATAAGGTTGATACAGACATTCGTCATAAGCAGAATAGTATACGTAGAACCATACTTGAAATGGCAAGTGGCGGAAAAGAGCAAGTTAGTCTGTCTCATTCGAAATATATTCAAACTAGCAATAGGGCTACCGATTAGCACAAGCATAGACAAACTGCTACAACTTCACCTGCACAATACCATAGATGGGCTCAATGAGGCGCAGCGTACGGCACAATACGACCGTCTGTCTAAGACACGAGCAGGAAGACATATCTTAGAGCGACTAGGCATAACGTATCACACACATCGCGGCGTCAAGGAGACATCCCGAGAGACACCAGGGAAACAATGATGGTACCCCTCTTGCCAAAAAACATGCATCCCCAACGCAATAAAGCCGGCGAGAGACCAGAGCAAAGCAAATACATAAAAATTTTGGTAATGAAAGGACGCACTTTTCGTAGACGCTGCTCGATACAAGCACAGACGGGGGTTTACGGCATAGAGTTTCCTAAAATTACCTAGACACTCTGGCGCTGCGATTTTTCAGCTAAGATGGGAATGATGGGCAGTACACACATTTTCCTAGTCTTCGTACTTGCGGGTGGCGAATCATACTGGCAGCTTCGTTTATTGCTGTGTTTTGGTTTGGTTTTGAAAGAAAGATTGAACCATTTTGAACTTCGTTAGCCGACTTGGAAAGTAGGTCTAAAAAATAAAATGGTGATGCGTAACTGCTGAGCATTTGCTAACACTTGTTTCGTAAAAAAACAGCTCTAAGCCACACGAACACACACGGAGCCAAAAGCAGGCCAGAAGTACGAATATTAGACAAAAGTGTGTACTACCCATAATTCTCATGCTCGCTGAAGCGCCGTGCGTTGCAGCTCCCATAGACACTAGCGCCAGGGTTCCCTCTAGTAAGTATTGTAGGTAACTCTATGGTTTCCGGTAGCGGTAATCGGCAGCAATAGACGCTGTATGACATGCGCGATGATACTCACCACAAGTACCGAGACAGCGTAACAGGTCGTCATAGCACTCGCGGCAGCTCAGACAAACGCAATCGTGATAGTTAGTCACTCTCAAACGGCAGCGAGAAACTTTGCCAATGGCCGCATCTCCCTGGAGGCACTACGCATTCTACTTGGAGGGTGTTGAACAAGCCACAGAAATACATACATTATGAGGCCACTTGCTCACGATCGCGGGGGACAGCAACAAGGGGCTGTACATGGCGCTGCTCGAGGGCTCACCGACCAAGCTGCCCTCTCATGGGCCGCCCCAGCATCCTAAGGTGATGACGGCGCGGCAGACGAGTGAAAGTGGGAGGACAGAATGACCAGATACATTGACATTACAAAACAATATAGATTACAGAGGGTGTATTTCCGCAACTCACCCAAACTTAACAAAAAGACAGTCTGTCGAATGGTGACAGTTACAAACTAGGACGTATCCGAATCCTGCACTATCGCACACTATATATCCCGATATATACAAAACGAACTGGTGCAACTGTTGTGACCCCAGGGACACATTGAAGCATATGTTATGTGAAAGTATAGGGATTAGTGCCCACAACGAGTATGCAGCCTGTAGTGACAGTCTTCCCGCGCGCTGGGAAGCCGCATTGCTCAGCCCCGTCCTCGAACATCAGATGTCGGCCGTCCAGCGGGCCTTGGAAGCCGCCGGGATTCAAGGACTCCTGACCATAACCTAGGCGGGGCCATTGGCCCACCCAACAACTCGCCGCACTCTGAATAAAGTTCTTTCCTTCTCCTCCTCACTCTTCATTACGCGTACATTTGCTTCGAAAATTGTGTTCATCGAGCTAATATTTGTGTTTTTATATCGTCCTAACTTTCGAAAATGACAAGGGACAGAACAAAATAAGTTCAATATTTTTTTCCTCCTAATCAATGCAAAAAAGAAACGAAGTTCACTTTCAGGCCACTGGGGCGTATGTGCAGAAAATGAAAAATAAACAATCAAGTCTGAAATATCGACTTTCGACCAGAGTTGATCTCTCGTGGGATCACCCAGTGCTGACTATCCAGTTTTATGAACCATACGTATGTACTCCGATGATACAGCCGTCACATCGGGTTAATGTCGATAGACGTTAGGCGCCATGCTGTGATGCTGATTTTTGTAGGAGTGTACAGGGCTTCCATCATTGCGAGCACCAGCGCTTCATTAACCCTTAACGCTTTTAAATGCGGAGCATTTTACAGTCGCGAGATGTCATGCTTCAGCGTCGTCTGTTGCATAGAGTTTCTCAAAATTAACTAGAGGGCACTCTGGCACTGCGATCGCTCAGCGACCATGGGAAGGTTGGGTAGTACACACATTTGCCTAGTCTTCGTACTTGCGGGCGGCAAATCATAATTGCGGTTTCATTTATTACTGTGTTTCGATTTTGTTTTGAAAGAAAGATTCAACTCTTTTGACCTTCGTGACCCAACTTGGAAAGGTAATAAAAAAATAGGGTGGTGAAGCGCAATCGCTGAAAATTTGCTGATTTTTGTTTCGTGAGAAAACAGCTTCAAGCCACACGAACACACACGGAGCCAAAAGCAGGCCAGAAGTATGAAGTTTAGGCAAATGTGTATACTACCCATCATTCCCATGTTCACTGAAGTGCTGTGCATTGCAGCTCCCATAGACACAAGCGCCAGAGTTCCCTCTAGTGTATATTGAGAAACTCTATGGTCTGTGGCACCGTCCACACCTTCATGGCTCGTGTACATTGAGAACCTCGGCTACCGAAAGCGCACCAAATTCGATTTGGCTGCGGCGAGATCCGCCGAATGGGCCCTGTCCGCGCTGATCGCTCTCTTATCGATTTTTGCGGTGTCTGCCGCCGGATCAGCTCACAATAGAAGCGCTAGCTGAGTAATTATTGAACAATGGCGGCCAAGTATGACTCGCTCATCTTGTCACGGGAAAGGAACGTGGACTTAGCGAAAATTCTGAACGAATTGATGCGCAACCACCTCGTCCTATACAACAAACGCGACATAAGCACAAGAACATGTTTCTAAAGGACGACTTGAGGAAACACATCGGAAGCCGGTTCAGATTTTTGGTAAGTACGAGTACCTGTGCCTAGGTTGCTTTGCTCGGCAAATCATGAGCACCTTGGGATAACGTTGCCTTTCTCGTCAGAGTTGCCACGAGCGTTGAAACAGGGAAAAAAATTCTAACACTTCACGGGTGCACTGCAGGTGTGAACTGCCGAAGACATCCTGGTAACGACACATCCATCCCGTGCTACCACCATGGTTGATTGTTCACTCGGCAGATGGCGCGCTATCATTATTCGGCGAATTCGGCGGTGTAATTTATGAGCCATGTCTTTTTTTTCTCTTGACATGTCATCTGGTGATCTTCGCATTCAGTTTTCTACTCCTAATGGGCTAGGTGCTGGATGGGTGCTCTTTTTTGACGTTAAGATATTAACGAGAACTTTTTTATTGCAGGAATGGGCAATCTTGAACCGTCAAAATAAGATGGCAGACAATCTTATGTGACATTTGACATTGCCAACACACTGCAAGTGACACAAGGACTTTGTCGTTCACTGACTAGGAACGCCCACTTATTATGTGAGCTCACAGAGACATCATTTTCTTGTACTAAGATAGCTTTAACACCATGAAAACGCTCTCTGTTAATGATAAACGTACAAGTTCCAGTACGCAACAGTACCTTTATTTAGACACCATCAGTTTTACCAACTTTACAGAGCAGGCACAACGATGTCAAATACGAGATCTCGTGGCTGCTATTGATGTGATTTGGATCTTTCTCGTTAAGTTGGGATTGGAAATTGTGCAGAGCTGAGTGATGCAGAGAGTTGTAGGTAATTACACGTTGTTCACTTTGAAACTGATACATTCACACGGGATGTCTGTGCATACGTGCACACTGAGTCGTCAGTAAGTGTTAATCTTTCACCCGTCATGTCTATTACATAGAGGCATTTTTTCCCATGATGGCCCTTCTTGTTTCTTGTCTACTCTTGAGAACAAATGTTTCATTCATTGCAAAAACTGTTCTGGGGTCTTTGAAGATGTCAACGCAACGACTCTTCGAATCGTTTTATGTAACGCCTGCACACTAGGCCTTAGACAGTCTGAGACAGGTGTAACAGAGATGACATTTTGAAATTTTCTAGGGAGATTGGGATTTGCGCTGATCCCGTCTTTGCGTAGCGCTTCCTTCAAATGCAGCAGAGAAGCTCGGTATGCATTGCTTCCGACACAATGGTGTCTCGTCAAGAAGCTGCCAGTCATATCACGTTTTCGCGGTGGCGTCAAAATCTCGACGCAAGTTATAGGTTTTTATCATGGTCTGATAACCACTTATAGTTTAGTGAGGCGTATTCATTAGGACGCATTCATTCTTGATGGCTTTTGGCACTTTCTTCAAAAATATCCTGCTCCACCCTTCGTTGCTTTGATTGAGCTCCTTGCAAAGCATCAATTAGCATTTTTATTGGGTGACTATTCTGTCATCTGTTGTTGCTGTTCAATTGTGTATAGACTCGTTCACTTTTTTTGTAGCAGTCTCTTGCGAGAGTTTTGAACATGGTGTGGGTTGCAATACAAGCTGTTATTGTGCTTGTAGACGACTCAGAGACTCCTCCACGGATTCCATCTGCAGAAGCTTTTCGTGCCTCAAGAGAACTTCCTTCATCTACTTCTCCGTCAAGGCTGCAGAACTAACATGACGAGAAAGGTTCGTTCTTGGCTCGCCATGCAGTTGAACACCCATCAAGAGAAAATGCTGCTATGAAGTCTGGACAACGAAGAACTCAATCCGCACGTCCACCTTCAGGTGCACCAAAATTTGGTAGTGGACCTAAGTGAAAATACACCACTATTATTAACCCATGACAGGCGGGTGTCGTCCGTCATTATTTAATTCATTTACTGTATTCCAATAATACTACTTATATTTAGTTCATATTCTCTAGGCTTCTATTTCTTCGTTTTTTCTTTCTAGACTGCCTCATGTGTAATATTGCATATGCAGCTACATCGACTAAGGTTTCAACGTACTTGTTGTTGATGATTATACCGCACTTGGAGACAAGGTCTGAGACATCGTACCAGTGAAAAAAATAGATATAAAAATAGAGCACAACAAGGAAAGAAGGAATAAGATAAATACACAGGAATAAGAACAGTAAAAGAAACGATAGAAAGTCGAAGTGATAATTGTGTTGGGAGAGAGATAGAAACATAAAAACAAAAGGAGATACAAAAAACAAGAATAAACAAGCAAATATCTATTAAAAATAAATAGAATAAAGCAAAAATTGAAGAGAGAGCAGCACGCAATAAAATTGAAAAAAGTGTTGCTTCTGCACAAACGTAAAACAAGGAAGGGGCGACGCATGAAGCATATAATTTTTTCCGGTGTTGGCAGCAGTAACACTGTTTTCCTCAGCTGAACATTTACTCCTCAGTGTTCTAACACGCTGTCAATTTAAAGATATGTTTGAAGTAGTAGTGTTATAAATGGATTTTATCACCATAAAGAGGCACGTTTTAATCTCTGGTTATAGATAAAACACTCGATCACCATGGTAAACTTCTTCGACTATTCTGGCGCGGTCTCTCAGCGAAATGTAATCTATTTTGTGGTAACGACGAACTTTTAACCCATATTATGCATTAGTGATCTAGTGTCAAGTAGAGGAATTTACCTCCTTCGTTCGGCGCGTACCCGTTCTCAGTGGAGTTTGAGGACTGCCTCGCACGTCGACTTCCTGAGGCCATGTGGTACTTTGCCCCTACTTCTCGCATCAATGAATTTATGTGTGTTCTTGATATCATCAAAGACAAGTTAAGATACTTTAGAATGAGAGGATGTCAGAACAAACCTTGTATTTATGACTGGTATCCATAAACTCCAGGGGCGTTAGTGTGGATGGCGTTATGACGCTGATGGTACCGCCCAGGGCACTCCACATGGTAAACATCATACCTGTTTGGTGAGTAATAGACGAGGATGCAAGTAATATGTCTGAACTTGACCAAGGTAGGTGTTGGCTGCAAAATAAATTGATGAAGTGCACACAATTCGGTATATTACGTTTTTACTATTGATTAGAAAAGAAAATTACCAGATTAGGCAATACGGGGTCGCCTTAATACTGAGACACAAGAATTGACCAAGCTGTGATTGTAGGTGCTGCGGTCTCCAATGAAAAAGATTACTTATAAAACAGGTAAAAGACACGACAATTTCAAACGAAGAAAAAGACATTTGAGGTATCCCTGATGCTTTATATTGGGGAGTTACGTGCCACGAGCGTGTACGCGTCCATGAGCACGGCATAATTTTCTTGTTTTTGCAGTTTTTCTATCCTAAATTCCGCTTTATTTACAAATATTGACATTTACCTATCATTGTTTAGCATACTGTTATATGCTAATACAGTATTTATTGCATAACACACTAGCGGAGGAGATAGAAAGAAACAAAACCTTGTTGATCTTTCTGTCATAGAAATCCGTTTAACACGAAAATAAAACGTCTCCTAGTAGATGTAGGTGACGTTTATTCTACACTGGTTTAATTAATTTTATCCAGTGTTTGTTCGTATTTACCAGCTAAAGCACAATTTTTAGTTATTGCATCCACGTCGATGATCAGTAACTATCCATTCCTACGAGTAACGTCCATGATAATTGATTGGTTAATTTTTAAACAATATTTGTGGTCACATATACCTAGGCTAGCTGTTGCAGGAAATGGTGAGAGTCGCATGAAAAGTGATGATATGGCATTCACGTAGCATGACGGCTTAGGTAATCTATTCGCAGCGTGTTAACAAATGATACTCCCTAATTACAGGGAGACACAACGCGCATTGTGTCCTTTGTTGGCCGGCAGTGATTTCGCCTTGTCACTGTGTGAGCGTCCCTGTGAGACAGGTTAAGACTTCGCCTTCTTCTACTGCATTTCTTACACAACGACTACTGCTTCCTGCGAGGGAAATAACAATTCGCACAGGTATTTTACGTACTGAACCACTGTATGTATGCAGACAGGCGTGGCTATTGTCAATAAAGAACGATATGTTTCTTACGTTGTACAGTAGAACGCTGCCACGTAGTTGTAATGCGTTATCTCTGTTCCCTTTGGCAAGCCAGTGCTTCCAGATGTGTAAATAATGGCGAGCACTGTGTCGCGAGGCTTTTCAACGGGCACCTCCGAGAAGTCTCGCTCGTCTAAGTTCAAGAACTTCGGTGTGGATATGAACCCTGGGGCAGGACCCATACAGAAAATACCCTGGTAAAAAGAAGTTGATAGAAGTCAAGCATGCACGTCATTTCTAAACCACGCAAGCTGCACATCTGTTCATGAGTTTTACCTAAATGACACAGGAAATGTGCGCACGGTAAATACCAGTCTTTTTTATCGTTTGCAACCTTTCAAGCCCCAGGCGTGTTAATGACATTACTTTTGCCTTGAGGCCTGTAAGGTTGCTGTTTCAATAGCATGCAGTGTTATAACATGAAGGAGTTTCATTGTACATGGCGATGGAAACCGCTGGTGTTGTGTTCTGAGAACGGTCTAATTCTAAGCTTTAATGCGTAATTGACTTCATCATTTTCATTGTTTCGTGCCCTGCGATGCTTGTTATCTTTTCTATTTCACTAACGGGAACAGGAGAGGGTCGCAGTGATGAAATTCCGCCTCCTCTTAGAGAACCCTGAGCATGCCTAGGCTTGAAGCCATTCCCCTATGACTAGCGTATGTAAAGTCAAATTGAAGTGCCAAAGTTACATTTGCTTTCCTTTAGTGGTTGTCATATAAAAGTAAATATGCCCTTAGCACACCAGGTATCAATTTTTTCATATTTTTATTGTAATTTTTTCTTATGCCTTCTTACTTTCTAGTAAAAAGTCGTGGAACCTTTAACAGTGTCATTCAAAGAAGCGTTAAACATGCCACTTTTAAATACATTTTCTTAAAATTTCCAGGCAATGCTGAAGATCAGCAAGAAATACTTTATTTATCTAAGTTTGTCCCCGCAAGAAAGCAGAGCAATATAAAAATTGTGGTGTAAATCTGCTCGGCATAATTCTCGATGATGTGGGCAATGAGGAAAAGTGTTTCCAATTGCATGTCCTGCTCCAAACCATTTGCCAAGTACATGTGGTGTATATGCGGAAATGGTGTTTAGAATATCACAGATGAAATCAAGAATACGAAATAGACATCGGTTAGGCATGTAGCGTGTCAGCAGGATAACAACTCTCATTATGGGTAACTGACCCTATTCCCAAAAAAGGCCCATGCTTTTGGGGGCACAGAAAAAGAGAGAGAGAACACAAGGAGAAAGGCAGGGAGATTAACAAGGACAGAGCCCCGGTAGGCTACCCTGCACTGGGGAAAGGGGAGAGGAGAAGGAAAGTTATAGAGGAGGAGATGAAAGGTCACTTAATGGGCCGACGCGTAGCAGTTTCACCATCACAAACGATGAAACAGACCGATGTCTTTCAGAAAATGCAGCAGTGCTTTCGTTGCCTTTCGGAAACTGGATAAGCAGTGCCATGGTCCCAATGTTTTCTCGTCAGTGAAATCACTTCTTTCCAGTTGATTTAAAACAGTGCGCAAGTGAAGCCTCTCATTTGTGTGTGTCGGGCAGTAACATAAGATGTGTTCTATAGTCTCATCGACGCCACAGTCGTTGCACTCCACACTGTCGGCCATCCCTATCTTAAATGAGTAGGCATTGGTGAAGGCTACGCCCAGACACAGACGGTACAACACTGTACCTTCCTCCCTGGAAAGACCAGAGGGTAGCCGCAGTCGTAGAGATTGATCGAAAGAATATAGTCAATGATGGGCGAACGGAAATGACTGCCACTTCTGGAGTGTCATGTCCTGCGCCAGCTTACTTAGCTATTTAGCCGAGTCAATCCTAGATAAAAGTACAAACAGAGAGTTTGTTTGTACGTGTGCATTTCTGGCTGCTTCATCGGCGAGGTCAATGCCGGAGATACCGCAATGACTTGGTATCCACTGGAACACAACGGTGTGTCCTTGTTCTGTCGCATAGTGCAGCATTTCTCTGATCTCGCATACCAGTTTTTCATACGACCCGCGATGAAGTGCCGACGAAAGACATTGTAGAGCCACCTTGGAGTCACAGAATGCTGCCCATCGATTAGCCGGTTGTTGCTTGATATAATCGATGGCACCTCGCAGGGCAATCATTTCCGAGCCAGCTGAAGTGTTCACGTGACAAAGTTTGTAAGCGATGTTGATGTGTCGCGATGGAATGATGGTGGCACCGGTGGAGCTAGTCTGGGTGGTAGATCAATCTGTGCATACATGGATTCTGTCAGCGTAGAAACTGTGTAAACAGTTCAGAGCCAATTTCTTCAAGACCAAGGCAGGAAGGACTTTTCTATTTCTTATTCCTGGGACGGAAAGGCGCACGTCGGGTTGTCATAGGCTCCACAAGGCGGACGGTGAACGCGCCAAGGGCATAAAACCGGATGGTAGCGAAGCTCGTAGAAAGCTGACGACCTTAGAGAACGACGCCTGCGGTCGTTGTTCTTGCAGAAATGTCACATCGCTGGATACCATCCGTAAAATGTGCCGAATATGTGCTCTCAGCACGTCAGTTGTGACGTAGGTCGTAAGTGAATGATCCCGAGCCAATATAACTGTTCCAGCGGTTGAGGTAGTGCGTGGTAGGCTGAGACAAACACAAAGTGCCTGTGCTTGAACGCTCTGAAGTGCTCAAATGTTTGTCTTGCAAGTTTTAGTATGCAGAGGAGAACTGTAGCACAGTACACCAATAGAAAGTGCTTGGTAAAGCTGCAGCATGGAACTCAATGAAGGACCCCATCTTTTTCCAGCGGTGACTTTCAGGACGTGGCAATAGATACCAGTTTCTCTTTCAAGCTAGTCACGTGAGGGCTCTAGGAGAGGTCGTGGTCAACGATGACATCTAAAAAACGATGGCTACGCTTGTAAGAGATGGGCTGGCCATTAATGCTTATCCGGTAAATTGTCATTGCCTTGCGCGTGAAGGCCACCAGTGCACATTTTTCTGCTGACATTGCTGGCCTTGTGTGCGAAAATAGTCAGATCCTTGCGACGCTGCCCTCTGTATTCTTGCTCGAACTTGTGGGTGTGTCAATGCAGATGCCCAGACACAGATGTAATCAGCGTACATTGAAACACTGACTGTTTCAGAAAGAGCTTCCGCCAGGCCAAGCAAGGTAAGATAGAAATGAATTGGGCTTAAAACACCACCTTGCGGAACGCCACGGCTCGTGTGGTATTCTGAGGTCAAGCCATCTTCAGTATATACAAAAAAGGATCTTCATGTCAGGTAGCTTCGGATTCACCAAAACATTCGCCCTCCCAGTTCAATTAACAGCAGTGTGTCTAGTATAGCTTGATGGGAAACGTTGTCATATGCACCTTTCACATCAAGAAACAGCGCAAGTGCTAGTCGTTTCCTAAATGTCTGCTGTTCTACTGATGACAACAAGTCAATGACGTTGTCAATCGATGAACGGTCTCGTCAAAATCACGCCATGGAGTCGGGGTAAATGTTGTCCCTTTCAAAGAACCATTCCAGGCGAGTGAGAATCATGCGCTTCATGAGTTTCCCAACGCAGCTGGTGAGAGCGACAGGCTGGTATAATGTCAGCATCAGAGTGGATTTCCCTGCTTTTAAAGTAGCACAAGACGACTCCGTTTCCATTCTTGAGGTACGATAGCATCTTCCCATGACCGATTAAATAAATTTAGCCGTTTCCGTCTAGCTGCTTGGCCTAAGTGACGCAGAGCTGTACACGTTATCCCATCGGTCCCTGGTGAAGAAGAATGCCTACGCAGTGTCAGAGCAGCTTCCAGCTCTTCCATAGAAAATGGAGCATACATACTTATATCTCGTGGGCAGGGGATCTGGCATAAAAGCACATCGGAGAATACGACTGCCCGCCGGTGATGTTCGTGCAAAAATCCTCTGCAACGTCAATTTCACGGTTGTTGAGACGAAGTGCGAGAGCCTTGAAGGAATGACGTTGCATGGCGCCTGACCGAAGACCATGTAGAATTCTCCATACATGAGACATTGGCTTGCGTGGGTCTAATCAATCACAAAGGCTTTTCCATCTTTGATCCTGTAGCTTGTCTATTCGGTGTTGTATTTTTTCTGCATACGCCTTGCTACTTAGAGATCAAGAATCGACTTGGTACACCTGTATCTTCTCTCAGCACGTCTACGTAACGCCCGAAGCCTTTCTAATTTGATTTCAAGCTCTGTGCGCTTCTGTGAGCGTGTGAAGCGGCGCGTACCATTTTTCATTGCATCTGCAATCACTTCTTCTAACCCGCACGAGGAATCATTTCTGCACGTGTCCTCTACTTGATCTTCATAAAGTGTCCAGTCTATATACCAATTGACCGGCGACGACAAAATCTCTTGGCCATCAATGCTGAAATTATCGGGATGTGGTCGCTACCATTGGTTTCGATATCTGTATACCACCGCACTTTTGAAGTGAGGCAACACGACACCAGTGTCAGGTCGAGGCAGCTGCTGTACGTCGTTCCTCGCAAGTATGTCGGGCTACCATTACTCAGAAGGCGCAGGTTGTGGTTTGACACAAACGATATCAGTGAGTGCCCGTTCTAGTTTGTCCTCAAGCTTCCCTATATTGGATGATGTGCAGTTGAAATCACCTGTTTTATTGCAAGGGTCTGGAATAGCTGCCATAATGTCTGTTAATCTTTTACAATCAAATGGACTTGCGGGGGATATATATACGCCAATAAATGCAAAAGACAACCGCTTTTTTTTCAGAGTAATGCATACGTACTGGTTGTCATCATCTGGCGGTATAGCATGGGCGAAATAAGTAAGGTCCCTGCGAATGTAAACAATAACTTTTCTGCTACTTCCATTTGTGGTTGAGGTGAAAGACTCGTATCCTGATATTCTTATAGTCGACGAGTTTGGCTCACAGATTACCATTATCGGGAAGCGGTTTTTAAACACAACCTGCCGGAAATGTGATATCCGGGGCCTCAGGCCTCTCACATTTTATTAAAATATGAAGGCGTTTTTAATATTATCTGCAAACGATGGCTGTTTTCATTGATAGGCAATGGTTCTGCTGTTATTCTTCTTAAACAATGGACTTCTGAAGGCTTGCTAGAACTCGGCTGATGGTATCCAGAAGCCGCAATGAGCTTCATGCTATTGGTGTTTGCACCCTCTCCACGGACACACGAATGGTACTCGCGGGCGAGCTGAC